AGAGAGAGAGAGAGAGAGAGAGAGAGAGAGAGATGCAGGTAATGACAGTAGCTTACAACAATATTATTGAAAGTAATAACATTATAGTTATAGTTCTGGCTACTGTGGTACAATATGTTGAAAGTATGTATTAATATCTGGCAGTATACATGTGTGACAATAGTCATATGTGTATAATAACAGTTGCTGTTAACTTTAAGCTTCAGGTCAACTGTTAGCTGTTAGCTGTTGGCTGTTAGCAGTTAGCTGTTAGCGGTCGAGCAACACCATTAAACATGAGGATTTATTTACTGTGAGCAAGAAACAAACCAACAGCTCTCCAGTTCATATATCAATAATATTTGCAAGTCACACTGGTGCTCCATGTTTGCAAAATGCGACTAAGTAGTTGCAGTCTGGAGCCCTGCAGATACAAAAAGGCCACGTCTTGCCTGCTCACACACTACTGCCCAGTAGACTGTTCTGAATGGGCAGGGGGAGTGTGTGTGATGAATCATATCTGTGAGTCTTTTTTTAAGTCTTAAAATAAATAAAAAATGACAATGTCTATTCGATGTCCATGATATAGTCATTTTAAACATCCTATGTGGAACAAGTCGCGAAAAATTGAGTATAATCATCCTATCGCCCACCCCAACTAAAAAATTTACTTTTTTTGAATGTTGGGTCTGTCCACACAGAGTATAACAAGTCCATGCTTGACAAGATTTTAATGCAGTGTCATACATGTGTAAAATAGTTTGCAAACTGGCCAGGTCATGTCGCTTTATTTGTCCCTTAACTTCACTTCTTTAGTGTCAGTACATATAAAATAACATGATGTGAATGTCAAGCTGCAGGCTCACCGTTGGGCGGATAAACAACAGCACACTCCTCATCTCCTCCCTTCCCTGTTAGAGACACACACATCAGTCAGTAACACACCTGTATTATCATGTATGTTTCCTAATGTCATGTACGTGCACAGGTATCTGTGTGCAGACACGTTGTGTTAGTGAAGCAGCGCTCCTGGAAGTTCATGTGATGATGTGTGTGTGTGTGTGTGTCCTTGGTGAAGGCCACACCATCTCACCCTGGATGACGGATTTGGGAGGAGTAGCACTGTTGTATTTGAAGTGATCCAAGACGGCGGTGTCTCTAGAGAAACACAGTAACACCTGGGAACACACAGGGCTGGTATTAAACACGCTAACGCCCACACAGACACGTGTACGGATTGCAGGAACAGTATGTAATATCATCCTCTCCTGAGGACGAGGGATGAAGGAGACAGTGGTTAATACACTGTTTTTTTGCTCAAGAGTCGGTGATGGCCTTGAGCGGGCTGAGTATCCCTTGGGTAAAAAAATTCTATTAAAGCAGCGCATCTGGAGCCAGCGTTTCAGGATGTACTGAAGCGGACAGTGACAGAGCCTCAAGTGGGAGGCTGTTTCCATTACAGACCAATTTCTGTGTCTTTTTGAGAACAGATTTCATTTCCACCGGCCACTCCAGATGAATTACAGGTACAGCGACTGGGGGGTAATCTGAGCAAAAATGAGACCGGCAGCCATTCATATGACTTCATTAATAGCAGACAATGAAAACGGGCTATTGTTCATGTCTGGGCTGCCTCTTGTCTGTACTTTAAGTGTACTTGCTGGGTACAAAAACAGATTGATCCACTGTTGTCCTTAAAGTGTTTTTGTCTGTTTGTATTAGATTGAATATGGGGAGGTATTATCTCAGGACAAAGTTTAATAAAGGTCTTTAAAAATCATAGAAAACTGGATGTAAATAGGCAATTATCCCTCAATGTCACAGCTCTGTACATGTTGTATCTACCTGATGTAGTCTTTACAACCAGAGAGACATTTTATTTAGTATAGTATCTGTTTTATATGGGTACCTACTGAGGTGGACACATATTCCTAATCTATTTCCAACAGTCAAAGTTGTTTATTTTAACATTAACAGCTACAATGTAACTTCCCTTTAAAACTTAGCTGGAAAATTGCACTTCTTAAAGGATAAGTTTGGTATTTTTTCAACCTGGACCCTATTTTCACATGTTTTTGTGTCTAAGTGGCTAATGGACAATTTTTAAAACTGCTCCAGTACTGAGCGAGAGCTCTGTAGCTGCCAAACAGGCTGCTATGTAAACACCTGGGGCAGTACTGCACTGTCAGTGTATGACAGCTTTAAGTGCTTGTTTTTGCCACTGACAGGATCAGATTGTTATTTTATGTCTCGCAACATTATGGAAAGGATTATTGTATCAAGTCTCACTCCATAATATTGTCATACATATTAAAAATCTGCACAAAAACAAGCACTTTTAGTGGATGTACACTGACAGTACTCAATTTCCCCAAATGGGTACACTGCACGCTGCAGAGGTCTTGCTCAATAATGGACTTGTTTCAAATACTGTTGTTCACATTAGTCAAGTAGGACACAACAAGAGGAAACTTACTCTTAAAGTTTTGGTTACATTGAAGGAAAAGTGCTTGTTTTTGCCACTGACAGACTCAGTTTGTTATTATTAGGGTCTTGAAATATTATGGAAAGGATCCCTACACAGAAATAAAACATTGTTCTTTACCTTTCACTTGACCTGGTCTGTTTGTTATTGCATCTAACCAACTCTCACTCCATAATGTTGTCAGACACTTATATTAAAAATATGAGCCTGTCAGTGACAAAAACAGCACTTTTAGTGGACATACATTGACAGTACACAATTGCCCCACGTGGGTACACTGCAGCCTGTTTTGCTGCTGCTGGCTGTAGCGTTCTCGCTCAATACTGGACTTGTTTCAGAAATTGTTGTCCCCATTAGTCACTTAAGGAAAACTTACTGTTTAAGTCTTGGGTGACACTAAAAGGAAAATGTTTGTTTTTGCCACTGACAGGCTCAGTTTGTTATCATACGTGTCTCACCATTATGGAAAGGATCCCTACACAGAAATATGCCTTTCACTTGACTCGGTCCGTTTGTTATTGCATCTAACCAAGTCTCACTCTACAATGTTGTCAGACACTTATATTAAGAATCTGAACCTGTCAGTGACAAAAACCAGCACTTCTAGTGGACGTAAGACATATAAAAGGAAAACTTACTCTTAAAGTGTTGGGTGAAATTGAAGGACACATGTTTGTTTTTGTCACTGACGGGCTCAGATTTTTATTCTGCGTTTCTGCCAACATCATAGAAAGGATCCCTACAGAGACAGACTTTTTGTTAAGGAGTAAGATCCTTTTTATTTAACCCGGAACAGCCTTGAAACTGTCCTACACGCAGCCTCATCCTCCTTTCTTTTTAACCGTGTGGTGTTCAATAGTTGAATGACTTGAAGGGTGACTTTGTTTTGGGGTTTTTTTTGTTTGTTTTTTTAACTGGACCCTATTTTCCCATGTTTCTGTGTCTAAGTGACTAATAGGAGCAAGTTTTTAAATTGGTCCAATATTGAGTGAGAGCCCTGCAGCTGGCATTAACAGAACAGGCTGCAATGTAATGTTTATGTCACAACCCGTCCTCCGTGATGCTGTGTGTGTGTGTGTGTGTGTGTGTGTGTGTGTGTGTGTGTGTGTGTGTGCTTTTGTTTTTTTTTTCCCAGTCATTTGAGTGAGTGGGTGTATGGCTGGTGTGTTTTTGTTCTTGTCTCTCTACCTGTTCTCTCCCTCCCCTCTCTTCTCTCAATCAACACACCGGCCGCCCAGCAGTAATCAACACACCGGTCTGCTATCAAGCCATCATCCTCACCTTCAAGTATCCCGCAGCAACAATCAGTCTCCGCTGGATCGTTGCCGTTTACGGTAGTACGTCTAGCTCCTAGTTTGCTGTTTTGTGCTCAGCTTAGCCTCTGCCTGCTTTTGTTTTTTCCCGCTGGAACTAATAATTGTTTCCGTCCAGGATCTCTTGCTGCCAGCCACGCCACACCAGACCCCCTCTGCCCCGTACTCCGCCGTCATCGCCTGCCAGCTAATACCCCCCTTTGACTCAATAAACACTGTAAACTTACCTGACCTTGTCCGCCTGCTGCATTTGGGTCCAGCCCAATCGAGACGTGACAGTTTATGGGCGACTGGGCAACGTAAATTTGCGTCCACTTAAAGTGCTTGTTTTTGCCACTGACAGGCTCAGTGATAACGGCTCGCACGGCCTCTGTAGTGTCTAACAACATTATCCTACAGAGCTAGACCTTTTTGTTAAACAAACTAAAACTCACAAAAACCACCTTGGTTCATCTTTCCACTGTTACAACAATCCCCAAGTCTTGTTTGATTAAGATAAACCCCTAATTCACCCAGTCAGATGTGAAAACACGCTGGCTGTATACACACTAAAATTACAGGTTTTTTAAATGGAGTCTGGTGGGTTTGGTCATGGCAATATTGAGGCTGTTTCTGGTTAAACAAAAAGGATCTTACTGTTTGACAAAAAGGTCTATCTCTGTAGGGATCCTTTCCATAATGTTGTAAGGCACTTAATATATTTAGTGGACGTACATGCATGCAAACATCCTCCAAGTGGTTACACTGCAGCCTGTTTTGCACTCACTCCACACTAAATCAGTTTCAAAACTTGATTCTCCATTAGTCACTTGGACACAAAAACATGGGGAAAAGGGTCCATGTTGATAAAATACCACAGTAACCCTTTATTCTCCTCATAACCTGTGTCAACACACAATGCGTGGATTCTTTCACTGTTGTGTGAGTTTACCATCAGTCAATATTGACAGTGATGCTGGAGCTTTGCTCTTTAAACACCTGTGTACTCATTAGTAAGCCACCATGGAGCATGACGTGTCAACTGCTGCTGAATAAACCGGTTGCCGAGTATATATGCTTATCTATCAGCAGCGAAGGCAAACAGAGCGGTGGCTACGAGAGAAGCTAATAATAACAGGTCATATCCGTGTCTGGGATGAAAACGATACTGCAGGAGAGAGAGATGCTGTCAGACAGTAACTGTCCCTGCATGAGAGTGTCCTGACTCGAGTTCAAATATTTTACTCTAACCTAGTGGAATGACTGGGACACAACAGACACAAGTTAGAACCATCTAAGTCATTCCCAATTAGGATACGGTGACATTTTAATTAAAATGTGATGACGGTATCAGGGGTGGTTTGTTTTTATTGTCAGTTCACTGTCAATAAACTCTGATCAAACCACAGTGTTTGAGTTTAAAGCCCCATCTCTGTGTATTTTGGCATTTCTATGATATTTCTTATTTCGACAGTGTTAATTAGCCCCACTGTTTACCAAATATATATTGCCAACTAACTCAATTTTGAAAGAAAGTTGTTACTTAAACGGGAAAATGATGTATGACTACAGTAGAGGCTGCAGGTTATATGTCATCCTCCAGGCTCGGCAGGTGCACCGTCATGTCTGTCCTGAGATCCAGGACTAAGTGATAAGGGGATAGCGCTTTCTCTATCGCTGCCCCAAAACGCTGGAATTGACCCATTGCTAAGTCCCACCCCTGGATGCAGACTGACCCATCATAACGTTGCATCAGGCTGGCTCAGACCAGGGTCCGACAACAACACAGCTGTGCTCCATTGACTCTAATGCAGTCGTTTCAGACTTCCTTAATTTTCGTTGTGTATTAATGACACTCGTTACCTGGAGAGGTTGGAAAACGATATACGTTTCTTCCCTGTTCCAAAACCAAATCAAACCCTGAAAAGTGTAGGGTTAGCTAGCTAGCTACTGAAGATATAGCCTACTGAATGTATACACTTGCTGCTTTTGCTTTTTAATGATTAGAAAGGCCCTGACTCATCAAGCCGACAGTCGGCCATCGACCAAAGTCGAGCTGTCGGTGAGCTTCTGTCGGCCTAATTTTTGCGGTGTGTCCCGCACCGTCGGCACTTCGGCATCAGTGGCTTTTCAGCCAATTGAGCACGTTGAATCAGCGGCAGAGCCAGTTAGCCTCCACTAGTCTCTGAGCTAGCCCCAGCTCTCCATTTGGATCCAACCGGAGCACCAAGCCCCGGTTTGTTATTCAGGTTAAAGTGGGAAGAAGCAGCGGGTTTATCGGGCAGCTGAGTGAAGTGGAGCCTGCGGAGGAAACACCGGGACCGTCTGGATGTAATAGTCCGTACAGGTGCTGCGTTGCTCGGCTGCACAGATAGGAAACCCCTCGGCTGACAGGATGTACCACTCTCTCACTCCGCTCTCTCTCACACAGACACAGAACGTATGTGCTACTTGGCCATCGGATGCAGTTCGTGTAGTGTGTGCAAATGCAACTGACACAGGGCGAGGTAGACGACGCAACAGTTGGCTTTCGTCGCCGCTAGTTCTTTGAATGCCGGCTTGGTGTGTCAGGGCCTTTACAGCGAAACAAAGACTGACCCTGCTGTACAGCAACCAGTGAAGGGAAGCAGGGAAACTTTGCTGATATTCAACCAGCTCTGTGTTGCCGGAGGGACACCGTTCATCTGCACACACTGCAATGCCACACAGCTGGTTCAATATCAGCAAAGTTTCCCTTTATATTCATTGTCTTGTGTGGCGATCAGCAGTGATGTGGTGGTTCACTTTGACACTGTGATCTGTAGCCTATAGTTCTGCTTTAGCTTCTAACTATCTTTGTCTTTTTAACCTGTTGTTGCTGCTGAGTCAGTTTGACATCCTGGATATATCCTTCAAGCACAGACTGTAGACCCCTCTGTCTGCTTCTCTCTGGAATCACTCTTTCATTTCTCCAAAAATATGATCATATGTCTTCAGGGAGTATATGAATATGAATAAAGTTGACTTGACCTGACTTGTGAGAAAGCGTGGACCCTACCTGATAGAGGAAATCTTCAAACACAAAGTAGTAGTCATCGTTGCTGGCGGTGAGCTTCACATCCTGGTGGGCAGGGAGGTGGAAGAAAGAAAGACTTTTAAACAGAAGTGCTATAAATACAGAGACTGTGAGCTGTTATCAGTGAACTTACTGGAAAATATTCCTTGAAAACAACTTTGGTATCAAAGTTTATGTTACATAGCACAAATGTTTTGGTGATTGGATCACCAGAAAACCAAACTGAATGCAGGATCTTGGGTCTGCAGCTTCACAAACATGAGCAGCGACAGTGTTCAGAGGAGTGTACCTTATAGATGAGGTTGTCCACCAGCAGGTCATGTTGTATAACTCCAGCAGTGAGCTGTTCATAGTGCATCACATCCTGAAACCACAGAGAACCAACATGTTTCATATGTGCAATAATAGAAAACCAGAGCCCAGTGCGTGTGGCCTTTTTAATAAACAATTTGTTTATAAATCTGGTGTTAATCCCATAATGCAACTCTCTGGATGAAGCTCCAGCTCTCTGATGAATACGGCGTGTAAAAGATCGCCCTCTTCACGGATACTGCTAAATCAACTTTATGATGGCGATGACAGAAGGATTAAACCGAGCGTAACGGATGGGTATCTTGTTTCCGACCACATGGTTAAACTCAAACATGTCTCCGGTTTGAGACAGGTCAGATCAGCGCTGCGGATGTGAGCAGAACAGAAACAGAGATGGTCATTTTGACAGCTGAGGTGGAAAATTGTGAAACCAATGTGGTAATATGGACAGCATCAGTGGAGCAGACTTAAAATAAGTTCTTCTAAAATATTAAACTATAAAAAGGATAAAATCTACTTACAGTAAGACAAGATGACAGACAAATGTGACGCACTGTGTCTTTTGGAGGCTGAAAGGTAATTTTGCACTGCTCAAAAATCCTGATACAATGCACATACTGCCCTTAATGTGTTTGCCCCTGTGCCGTCGAGAGGCGTGCTAACACTCTCCAGACCTCAGCCGGGTCTCTGTAACTCTCCCTCAGAAATCAATCTCCCCATCGCAAGCATTGTTTTATCGACTTGGCCTCGGCGGCAGACTCTGGACTCCAGCGTTTACACAGCACTTTGCCACACGCAGCTGCTCTGTTTGGGCTAACTGTGCTAAATCGCCAGCATTTGGTTATCTTAGCATTTGTACACATGGGACACGCCGCAGCTAAGGCTAAGATAAACAGGACAGGAGGTTAATACACAGATTCTTCTGCAGGTCATTGGTGTCTCATAATGTTGGGTTTTACTGTGCAGTGTAAATCCCAGGATACAAAACAATAAATAATTAGGATTCTCCACTGAAACAAAAACACATTTGGTCCAAAAAGGCCTGGGACTGGCTGCACAAAGAAAAGGTTGTCCTTATAGTCTGAATTAAGGTTACCTTAATATAAATTTGGTTGCACAAAACACCCTTAAGTCTAGTCTGTAAGGTTTGCTTAAAATGTTCACATAAGTATTTAAGTCATCTTGATCTCATACTTAAGGAAACCCTTAAAGTTAGAAAACCATTGCGCTAACGATCTTGGTTACTTAACAGAGGTTTCCTGTACCGACTTTAACCTCTCCCTAATTGATCATTTTGTTGATAGCTCTGTAGGCTTGCTGCTAACAACACTTGACTCTGTAGCTCCTCTTAAAAAGATGTTAATAAAGCAAAGAAAGTTCGCTCCTTGGTATAACTCTCAAACCCGTAAGTTAAAACAAATATCGCGAAAATCTGAAAGGGATTGGCGATTAACCAAACTGGAAGAATCTCGTTTAATCTGGACAGACAGTCTCAAAACTTATAAGAGGGGCCTCCGCAATGCCAGAGCAAACTATTACTCAGCATTAATAGAAGAAAACAAGAACAACCCCAGGTTTCTTTTCAGCACTGTAGCCAGGCTGACTGAGAGTCAAAGCTCTATTGAGCCTTGTATTCCTTTAGCCCTTAGCAGTAATGATTTTATGAGCTTTTTTAATGACAAAATTCTAACTATTAGAGGCAAAATTCATGACCTCCTGCCCTCAGATGGTAGGCCTACCTATCTAACCTCAAACACAGCTGTAGAATCTAATATATATTTAGATTGCTTCTCCCCAATTTCTCTTCAAGAATTGACCGCAGTGATTTCTTCATCTAAATCATCAACGTGTCTCTTAGACCCCATCCCAACTAGGCTACTTAAGGAGGTCTTTCCTTTAGTTAACACTCATATATTAGATATGATCAATATATCCCTATTAACAGGCTATGTACCACAGTCTTTTAAGGTAGCTGTAATTAAACCTCTCCTAAAAAAGCCCACCCTGGATCCAGAGGTGTTAGCCAACTATAGACCAATATCTAATCTTCCCTTTATGTCAAAGATCCTTGAGAAAGTAGTCGCAGACCAGCTGTGTGATTTTCTCCAGGATAATAATTTATTTGAGGAATTTCAGTCAGGATTTAGAGTGCATCATAGCACTGAGACAGCTCTAGTTAAAATTACAAATGACCTTCTGATTGCTTCAGACAAAGGACTCGTCTCTGTTCTTGTTTTATTAGATCTTAGTGCGGCGTTTGACACAATTGACCATCAAATTCTACTGCAGAGACTGGATCACTTAATTGGCCTAAAAGGTTCAGCACTAAGCTGGTTTAAATCTTATTTATCTGATCGTTTTCAATTTGTTGACGTTCGTAATGAATCATCCTTACGTACCAAAGTTTGTTTTGGAGTTCCGCAAGGTTCTGTGCTCGGACCAATCCTATTTACTCTATATATGCTTCCTTTAGGTAACATCATTAGAAATCACTCTATAAATTTCCATTGTTATGCGGATGATACACAGTTGTATTTATCGATGAAGCCAGAAGAAAGTAATCAATTAACTAAACTCCATAACTGCCTTAAAGACATAAAAAATTGGATGAGCACCAATTTCCTGATGTTAAATTCAGACAAAACTGAAGTTATTGTTCTTGGCCCCAAACAACTCAGAGACTCTTTATCTGATGACATAGTTTCTCTAGATGGCATTGCTCTGGCCTCTAGCACTACCGTAAGAAACCTCGGAGTAATATTTGATCAAGATTTGTCTTTTAATTCTCATTTAAAGCAAACCTCACGGACTGCATTTTTTCATCTGCGTAATATTGCGAAAATTAGGCCTATCCTGACCCGAAAAGATGCAGAAAAATTGGTCCACGCTTTTGTTACCTCAAGGCTGGATTACTGTAACTCTCTATTATCAGGTAGCTCTAGTAAGTCCTTAAAAACTCTCCAGCTAATTCAGAATGCAGCAGCACGTGTACTAACAGGAACTAAGAAACGAGATCATATTTCTCCTGTTTTAGCTTCTCTGCACTGGCTCCCTGTAAAATCCAGAATTGAATTTAAAATCCTACTGTTAACTTATAAAGCTCTAAATGGTCAAGCTCCGTCATATCTTAGAGAGCTCATAGTGCCATATTATCCCACCAGAACACTGCGCTCTGAGAACGCAGGGTTACTCGTGGTCCCTAAAGTCTCCAAAAGTAGATCAGGAGCCAGAGCCTTCAGCTATCAGGCTCCTCTCCTGTGGAATCATCTTCCTGTTACGGTCCGGGAGGCAGACACCGTCTCCACATTTAAGACTAGACTTAAGACTTTCCTCTTTGATAAAGCTTATAGTTAGGGCTGGCTCAGGCTTGCCCTGTACCAGCCCCTAGTTAGGCTGACTTAGGCCTAGTCTGCCGGAGGACCCCCCTATAATACACCGGGCACCTTCTCTCCTTCTCTCTCTCTCTCTCTCTCTCTCTCTCTCGTATTCTATTACTGCATCTTGCTAACTCGGCCATTCTGGATGTCACTAACTCGGCTTCTTCTCCGGAGCCTTTGTGCTCCACTGTCTCTCAGATTAACTCATATCGCAGCGGTGCCTGGACAGCGTGACGTGTGTGGTTGTGCTGCTGCCGTGGTCCTGCCAGATGCCTCCTGCTGCTGCTGCCATCATTAGTCATTAGTCATACTTCTACTGTTATTATACACATATGACTATTGTCACACAAGTATACTGTCAGATATTAATACATACTTTCAACATATTGTACCACAGTAGCCAGAACTATAACTATAATATTATTACTTTCATTAATGTTGTTGTAAGCTACTGTCATTACCTGCATCTCTCTCTCTCTCTCTCTCTCTCTCTCTCTGTCTCATTGTGTCATACAGATTACTGTTAATTTATTATGCTGATCTGTTCTGTACGACATCTATTGCACGTCTGTCCGTCCTGGAAGAGGGATCCCTCCTCAGTTGCTCTTCCTGAGGTTTCTACTGTTTTTTTTCCCCCGTTAAAGGGTTTTTTTTGGGAGTTTTTCCTTATCCGCCGCGAGGGTCATAAGGACAGAGGGATGTCGTATGCTGTAAAGCCCTGTGAGGCAAATTGTGATTTGTGATATTGGGCTTTATAAACAAAATTGATTGATTGATTGATTGATTAATAAGGGGGGGAAAAAAACCTTAAGTTACCTTTGACTCTTTCTTAACCACAGCATGTCTGAGTTAAGGTGACGAACAAAGAAAATAAAGGCATCTTGAGAAGAATATTCTCCGACATTTCTGCCATTTTCTGCTCTGCTTAAGAAAGTTTTAAGTCTCTTAAAAGTCTTCCCCGCTCCTAACATTTTGTCATCTTACAGGCTAAGATGCTTTGTGATTAACTTTTATCTTAACTGGGATCTAGTCTTAACTTTAAGAGGAAATTCTCCAGTTTCCCCTCGTGACAATAATTATGAAAATTGAGAATTTCCTCTTAAATTTAAGACTAGATTCCAGTAAAGATAAAAGTTAATCACAAAGCATCTTATCTCATCACTAGGGGAAACTCTTTGTGACTATGGCCCCACAAGTATAATATTTTCCTCCTCTGACCAATTTGGTTTTCTTGTCTTTTCTTCTGCCATTTTTTTTTATATATATCTTTAGGTTAATGTTGTGAGACAAAAACAGGTATCACAAGCGTGAGTGCAAGCAAACAGAATTCAACCTCTGTAAAATCTCTTTCAATGCAGTAGATAACTACCCTTTAAGGGATTCTTTGCAACACCCTTAAGTAAGTCCCTCAGCTAAGGAGAAATGAAGCCTTGAGTGTCATACACCAGGTGAAAAGTTAAGGTGTTTTGTGCAGCCAGCCCCTGACCATTAAGTGTGAACTCTTCATCTTGTAGTAAACATGCAGTTTGGGAATTACTGCAGCTGTGTGTGCACGGCTGGTTTATAACAAACACTGAGAGCCGCCACCAGGGTCAGCTGTGTGTGTTAGTGTGTGTGTACATGCATGTTGTACCTGTGGCTGGTTAGCAGCATTAAGAATGAGGGCCCACAGGTCCGCCCGCAGTCCGGTGGAGCAGCCCTGTCTGCTGTACTGCTGCGCTGCTGCACTGTCCTGCTCCAAGAGCACTAGACAAAACAAAAGAGACAGAGAGTTAGAAGAGAACGATAGAGGGGGTGCATGAGACAGAAAGACGTGGACAGACTGTCCATGTTTCCTCAATGTCCAGTTGAATGGCAGAAAAATAACTGCAGTCAGCTGTTTGCTTTGTTAGCTTGCTAAAGCATCGGCTTCTCCACTACAACACTGCAGTGTATGTATGTCAGTGTGGGGAGGTTATGTTACGATACGAAATGATGTACATTATTGTATTGAATTGTTTTGTTAAAAAACAGTAACCTACAATTCTGGCACTGCAATTTTTTTTCTTTTCTTTTTTTCTTTTTTTTTTATAAATTCACTCAAATAAATGTCATTAAAATAAATAAAGTAAATGAAAATCAATAAAACTAAGTTACATCAAAACAATAAAGTTGATTTAACTTAAATGAATCATGCAAATGTAAATTAATTCAAATAAACTAAATTAATTACATTTATGTATTAATATGCATAAATTAATTTCACTCAGTTTATGTATGTTTTGCTGTTTGTTGATTAAATTCAATTAATAAATCAAATCATTATTATGTTGTTACATTTATTTTACAATAATAATTATCATATTGAATAATTATTTAATTAATCTGATTAAAGTCACTCAAATTTATTCAAATTAATTCAATTAAATTAACAAATAAATAAAACTAAATTTAAATAAAAAGATTAATTAAATAAATCAACATAAACACACTGAGCTGAGTTAACAAACAACAATTAAACTATATCAAACTGAATTAAAATAAATTAATAAATTAAATTAAATCAATTAAAAGGAATTACATTTAATTTAAATAACAGTTGTTTTTTGTTTTTGTGGGGTTTTTGTGGGGTTTTTCCCCAAATTCTGTGGCCTGGCATCGTTTCATATAAATTTTGCTTGTCTTAAGTTTTCCTAGACAGACTAGCTATAGATTCCAAATCCAAACAACGAAAACTCTCAGAGTTTAAATAGAGAATTTAATAGTATTTTTGACAGATTTGTTTGCTTTCACTGCTAATGCTGCAAAGTTGTACCAAAAAAGTACCAAATTATTATGAATAGGCCACTGCACAGTAACCACCTTGTAGTAAAATATATCAATGAATGCTCATTTAGACCTATTAGTAATGTTTATAGGCTAATTAAGACTTAATAGGGCGTATTATTCATATTATAAGGCTCAAATATGTTTTGCAGCTCCAGACAGATTTGTTTTGGCCCAAAAACGACTCTTTTGATTGTAAAGGTTGCTGACCCCTGGAATATACTATACTGAACAAAAGACTGCAGGAAAACAGAATGCATCAAATCCTAAAAACTGACGTTCCATCCTAAAATCATCTGACCAAAAAGAATCAATAGGTGGACTCATGATTTGCTGGCAGAATTACACAATATGTCCAAACAGCAGCTGGGAAAATGAACACCTGCACCTCCGTCTTGAATGACTTCATGACAACAAGCGGGCAAATCAGCTCTAAAACTGTTAAGAGGTTTGTTTTCTCCAGGAAAAGCTGTATCGTATGACCTCTACTGAAACAGAAATAAAGCTCTCAAAGGTTCAAACTCTCACTCCATCCTTTTAATAATGTATAAACATAAAAAATCATAACACAGACATTTCCCGTGATTATCGCACGGCTTTCCAAAAAATACTCAGGCACATGCTGGAAACAACCTCTCCCACATTCTCCCCTAAATCTCGCTGCGACAGTAGCTAAAAACACACAGCCCTTGGCTTAAGGTGCTGGCCAGTCATAACATAAACAAACACACTCCTCGCCTCTTAAATTTTCCTATTTGAGTGCACTTAACACTTGGCCTGGAACACAATTCGCAGCTCGGGAGCCAACACCAGGGTGAAATAGTGGACCAGGGCCTCGTGGCTGTGTATATAAAAAGCAGCTTGTGTTTTTAAGACTCTGGTCGATTGGTGTGTGATTGGTGTCCATAATAAGGTCAGTGTTTACACTGGGGTCATAGCAGAGCGATGACACAAGAGTTAAAGTGTCTCTCGTGCCAGTGACTGCACCTGATAGCGCGAAGAGGAGGATTCATTAATGGCAGGAGCTGACAGTGGGGACTTTCTGTGCATTTGTGCTCAAAAAATATCACCTCACTCTTTCAGGTTTTATTCATTTAAAAAGCAGTTTCAGGGTGGATATTATTAGATTTTTTGATACTGATCTCCAGAAAAACACTCTTTAATTTAAAAATAAAACCAGATCTGTGATGCTGTTAAATAAATACAAATATAAAACACAAAACTACATAACACAAGGCTGCAGCTGTAGTCTAAGGTTCCTCTACTTAAAGGTTAACCTGAGCCCTATTTTCCTATGTTTCTGTGTCAAAGTGACGAATGGGAACAACAATTTGTGATGATTCACACTCTGCTAGCCCTGAGTTAAATGTCAGATTGAACACGTAAGGCCTCAGTCACACAGAAAATGTTCTGCAGGTTGCTAAACACAAGGCGCACCAAACTGCCCTTTTTTTTTAAAACTGAATGCCATTTGCAAAAGAAACACTTGCTGCACCATTTCATTGTTGCCAGGCAACCACCCCATCACATAATTATTATCTAGCTCCTAACATGTTGAGGCAGAGGGTACTTGCTGTAGCTCTGGTTGAGGGTGAGAAGCTGTCAGTAAACAGTTTGTCGGACACAGGGAAACTGAGATCTGTGTGGGTACATGAGACCCTGAAAAAGAGGGTGGGTCATTGGGAGTACCACCAGTTGGTCCAGGAGCTTCTCCTCCATGATGGCCTTTTGACACTGGCAACTTTTCGCCTTGGGTTAAGTCCATTTTCTGGGGATATCTCTGCAAACTTGAGGCTTAACTTGCTCCAGAGCAGGGCCTGCAAGCCCTAAGCTGAAGTCATAAAGTAAAGTTCGCCCAGTTGAATTCTGTCAATGTGAACGCTTTCTTAGCCCCAGGTTAACAGTTACCTCAGCCTGGAGCCAAGTGCAGTGTGAAAAGCCTATTAAAAGTTCTTGTTTTGCCACTGACAGGCTCATGTTGTTATCGTTCTAAGTGTATGACAACATAATGAAAAGGATCCCTACAGAGAAAGACCTTTTTGTTCAAGACTAAGATCACAATTGTCAAACCCAAAAGACTCCAGTAATTTAAGCATGTATGGAGCCAGCACATTTTTACATCTAGCTGGATGAATTGACAGTTTATTTCACTCAAACCAGAGTTGGTGATTGTTGGAAGAGTTGAGAGATGAATCAAGATGGCTTTCGTGAGTTTTATTTTGTTTCTGTTGACTCTGAATGAAGTGTGTCTCACGTAGATAAAATTGCTGTTTATTTAAATGAGTCTGGGGCTGTTTCTGGTTAAACAAAAAGAATCTTTCTCTTAAAAATACGGGTCTATCTCTGTAGGGATCCTTACCACAATTATAATAACAATCTGAGCTCATCAGTGGCAAACACAAGCATTTTTAGTGGACGTATACAGACAGCAGATCATTGCCAATTAACATTACCTTGCAGCCTGTTTCGCCGCTGTCAGCTAGGGCTGTCAAAATCGCTCAAAAATGACATTCGAATATTCCTTCTAAAAATAACTCATAGGTTCGAACCATTCGAATATTTTTTTTTCGCATTATGTCCACAAGAGGGCAAACTAATACAAGGAAACATACTTGTATATGAAACATAACTACCTGTAGGTATTTTTATTTCAACATAAACGTCTTTGAAAAAATTTACATATCTACACATTAAAACACATAAAACAATTATCTATAACATTACGTTATAAACGACCGCGGACCTCTCGCTCGCCCCCCATCTCTGATCCGTCACGCCAGGGCCACACCGCCCGCAGAAGCGCTGCGAATAGCCTCGAAGCGAAGTCAATTTCCTTTCCGCGCCCATGTTAACCGATTGTGTCATCCACACCGTGGCCGGCTCGCGCCCTGCAGCGATCGTTTCGGCGTCCTGGCGTCTGCGCGAGCCGCAAGCAAATGTGTCAAGCCCGGTGACGGAGACAACAGCTGGGAGCAGAACCAATTGTTGACCAGCGTGGAGAAATGTGCGTCTGATGTGAACAAAAGTGCTCCGGCTCGCGCAAGAATATCGGTGCGTTGCGCTTTGCAACACTTCCGCGGGCGGTGTGGCCCTGGCGTTATGCAGTGCGTTCAGGACAGCTGCGGTGGTGTTTATTTTTTTTCTCCACAATCTAATATCAATTTTCACATTCGAAGGTCCATTTTTTTTTCAAATTCTAATTTATATTCGAATTTAGAATATTCGTTGATGGCCCTACTGTCAGCCGCAGCCCTCTTGCTCAATACCGGACCAATTTCAAGAACTGTTGTTCCCATTAGTCACTCAGACACAAAAACATTGGAAAATAGAGTCCATGTTGAAAAATACCCTTAAATATCCCTTTAATATCGAGTGTAAGGGAATAAATGCTGACTTAATCAGTACTAAAGGTCATCGATGAATCTCCTGGTAGCCTCTGGTTGGTGCTTTTTGGCCTGGGCCAGCTTGCCATTTATGCATTTATATACCTCAGTTAACAGAAAAGCAATTAGAGAAATAGATTTAGAAACAAACACTGACCTTTTTTCCCGACCTGAACGTACTCGTTTTCAAACAGGTCTGCACAGGAGTAAGAAAGACAGGACAAACCAGGTGCATTAATAATCACATAGTAGAGGCTCAGTTTTCAAACTAATGTTATCTCTTTGACTTACAAACACAGAGACGGCAGATAGGATTCTATTTAAAGCCTAGACACCAGGCTGCAACAATGTCAATATCTGGACTTTAACAGAGACACTGTTTGAGAAAAACCAGAGGGCCATGTGGGACAGGAGAGGCCAGAGTGGTATACACACCATTAAAGCCCAGTGCTCATTAGGTAAACACATTTGTTTTTGTTATTTCTGATTAACTACTGCTAGAGCAGAAATTTGTTTAGGCTGTTAGGATATTTAAAGCGACTAAACGGATGTCTTATGTCGCTTTGTTACTAATCATATTATACGCTATATATACACTGCTAAGAAAATTAAGGGAACGCTTAAATCAGACATCAGACCTTGATGAACGATGTACACTGAGGGCTGGATTCAAAATTACACTGAAAATAAAAAAGGAAAAAAACGAAATCACAGGCTGATCCAACTTGCATGAATTTTATCAGGACAACTCATAATGTGACTCAGTAGTGTGTGCGGCATTCCCAACAACATCTGGGCATGCTCCTGATGAGTCAGTGGATGGCGTCCTGGGGGATCTCCTCCCAGACCTGGATCAGGGCATCAGTGAGCACCTGGACAGTCTGTGGTGGTACTTAGCAGCTTTGGACGCACCGATACAGAACATCGTCTAGGTGCGCCATTGGATTTAGTTCAAGGAAACAGGAGGGCCAGCAATGGCATCAATGCCTTTGTCATCCAGGAACTGCCTACACACTCTGGCCACATGAGGCCAGGCACTGTCCTGAACCTACTCTCATCTATGAAGAGAATAGAGAGCCAATGGCGGACCTGCCAATTCTGGTGTTCTCTGGCGAATGCAAATCGAGCTGCACGGTGCTGGGCTGTGAGCACAGGTCCCACTAGAGGACGTGAGGCCCTCATGCCACCCTCATGGAGTCTGTTTCTGACAGTTTGGTCAGAAACATGCACACCAGTAGCCTGCTGGAGGTCATTTTGTAGTCTCCTGTGCATCTTTTGGTGTTGTTTTATATCCACTCCTGACACTACAAAATATTACAGCTTGTTTGTCGTTGACTTCCTGCTGAAAAACCTCCACTTCAGAAAGTTTTCTTTATGTATCTAGTCCGGTGCACCACCTTCTTTAGACATTTGTTTGGGCATTCTTTTCTCAACTCACTATACTTTTCTTCTTCTTCAGTGTCTGTCTTTACACACAACTCTGCAGTCTCATGCCCTATCATGGGAATCTTCAAGGTGTTCACACACATGGCAGACACTTTCAGCTTTCAAGAACAATGGGGTTTATCGTTTTAAGAACACAGGTGCAAAAAATTAAATCGTTTAAGAACATGTGATGACTCTGACGTAGACTTTTCTTAGGACCTTTCTCAAGAACAAATCTAAGAAAAGATTGGGATGATATTGGTGAATGAGGCTCATCTTCTGATCTAACTCTCTGAAAGACTACAAATGAGCGTATTTCCAAAGATGTCAAACTATTCCTTCAGTATGAAGATGCGAATTTGAGCTTTTTGTGAATACCTGGATGGATGTGTGCGTGGTCATCAATCCCTAACTGCCCAGTGGTCAGGTTCAGCTCTGAGTACGCCTGTCTCTGAGAGTTTAACACAAACAAACAACAAATCACATTTCCTGATTTCAAATCCATCTTTCATTTCCTGAGCCAACAGGATGTACTTTTATATGTGGACGAAACACCTGCAGACAGACACACAGGTCCCTACCAGCTGTGGGATGTCCCTGACATTAAGGGGGACCTGGATGAGACCCCAGTGGCTCCTGACGCTGATGTCCTCGCTGCTATCATGATTCGGATTCCTCAAGCCGATTAACACCTGTGTAGAAAGCAATAATGTAGCATAAAGGATTTTTTCTTTTCATTCCTGCTCAAACAAACCACACTTAAGACTCTGAGATCCAAACCCTAAATGTGCTTACCTCCAGAAAGTCTTTAGGGGCATACACAGGCCTGAAGCGAGTTAAATCTGCAGAGACACAAAGGTATTAATGTACCTCTACCATACATTGGTTGACAGACCACTTACTGCACAAAGGACACTTTGTAAGTGGTACTTCCAGCTGATACATGTACAGTGTTTACATATGCAATTCCAGAAGAGGTTCAGCAGCTGTTAAACCCAGACTACACAAATGAATCCAGCCCTGAAGTCCATTTAATCAACTTGAGCTTGAATATACTATAGAACGCTTGTGACGCTCAACTTGGCCGCTTCTACAAACGCCCAAAGAACAGGACAACTGAGGCACGTTCAGCCGCCTTTAAGTGGGATTCCCATCCACTTCCTTTGTAGCATGGCAGTAAATTCAAGTGCCGTGTCTTCCACAGAGCAAGGGCATATTAAGGTTGGGACGGAAGGAAAGTTGCTGCTCGTTATCGCAGCTCCATCCAAGGAGTCTGGACAGTTTCTATATTTGCAGTCCAAAGTGTTTATAGCCGGGGGACGGCACATCCTAAATGTTATTATATGGCACTAAGCTGTGATAGCATTGTTAAGCCACAAGGTTACTGTGTTCTATTTAAATGTACTGGCTTCAAGTGCAAATGGTTGCTTCATTGAGAGCCAACCAAGGTTTTCATAGTGAGGTATGAGATGCTAATAGGTATTTTCAATACACTGCAAGCACCTCTCAAATACAGTGGAATATCTATGTGATTTAAACAGTCTGTGCAGATTACACTTCACTGAACTTGACAGAAATAGACTTTGGCCCTGATCACATAGAAGGCATTTTGCAGGTTGCAAAACACGAGTCGCACCTCACTGCCTTTTTTTTTTTTAACTGAATGCCACTAGTCAAAAATTTATTATTTTTATTTTTATTGTTGACAGACAGCCACTCCATCACATCCTCACACTAACCTTTCTGTGTAATCAATCAACCGTTTTTTTCCCCCCCAGTAATTAGTATCTAGCTCCTAACATGTTGAGGCAGAGGGTACTTGCTGTAGCTCTGGTTGAGGGTGAGAGGCTGTCAGCAAATAGTTTGTTGGGCACAGATAAACTGAGATCTGTGTGGGTACATGAGACCCTGGGATTGTCATGGGGAGTACCACCAGTTGGTCCAGGAGCTTCGTCACGATGATGGACATTTTCAGGCATATTTTAGGATGACTCAGGGGCAGTTTGACAACCTGCTGCCTATCGTCAGGCTGTTTAGCTCTGAGTATCCAGCAACCGCTACCACCAGTTTCTCCTCCATCGTTTACCAACTGTAAACTTGTTGTCGTGACCACCACAGAAAGCCCGCCTCTCTAATCACCCTATTGGACAATGAGGAAAAAAAGCTGACGAAAAAATAGATGACGTGGGGCGTTTTTCTGCTCTGAGTTGAAGTTTTTTCAACCCGAGGAGTTCAGAGTGCTCCGGCAAAAATGCCAGGCACCTGAAGTGCAGAAACGCGAGGTGTGTCGCAACACAAAAACCGCTACCAAAAACCTTCATTCTCATTAAAAACAAATACAAAAAGGTTTGATAGGGGCCTTAGACCATAAAAAACCAGAAGGGACTGGTAGAGATGACACCTTTTCCTGAGATAAAATTTGCCGTTATTAAACATGGAACCATAAGACTTCAATTCATTAAGAATTTTCTCTGTTTTTGGATTCTTCGTTCACCGTGGAGGCATGCAAGAGAAGCCAATATTTCTTCTTGAGTGAGTAATGGCTACACAAATGGATATTTGGGGGGTTAGGTATTCCTTTGACATAAATTTGAGCTAGGACGACGGCAACTTCTCTGCTAGAGCTGCTCAGTGGCTGATACAGTACTTCGTGTTGTGAGTCTAGGCAGCTCAAAGGCTGTGATTTCAACCTTTTAAGCCTGATACAGGCAAGCAACCATCCGTGAAGCCAACACCAAAATCAACATCTGGAAATTACACTTTGTTCTTTTTAGACTCATGCCCAGTCCCTTAGAGAACCTTGGATAAATACCAGCTAAAAAGTGTTGGGAATAGAATGATTTTATGTGTTTTACTATAAGTTGTGTTTCACTATATAAGTTTTAGATGTGTGAACAATGAGAATACTGAGATGATTTCAGCTGATCTGAATGTGTTTGCTTTGCAGAAGTGGAGAAGTACAGGAGAGGAAGAGACATGAAGTCTGAGGAGCACATACCGCAATGCTTAGATAATTAGTTTCATATATGGTAAAAAGAATAGAAAGTGATATACAGATAGTAAGGTACAGCACGTGTAGGGAGTTGTGTTGTTCTCTTGTCTTTCAAAACAGGAACCACGCCCCCACCGCCAGTGGGAAGGAGTCAGATTAACATGAGGCAGGGGCGTGGTGTGGTGAAGGAGGAAGTGGAACTGCCAATGAGAAGAGGACAACACCTTGCGTGCACAATGACACTCTGTTATGCTCAAATATACTGGGTCAGGGAAAGGACAGGAGGTCAGACTTCGTGAACTGACACACCTTTGTTGTTCGTCAGGGACGTGAAGTTGAGACCCAGGGCTCTGTAATTTTATTCCTTTACTGCTTAATAAACTACATTAACTGAGACCGAATATCTTCTCCTATTGCTTCATTAAAGAACACGCAGGACTGAGCTCACACATAGCACACTGGAGAGTAGGATGAGACTCTTAGTCCAACAAAAGCAAACATGGAAGTGGCAGATCTGGTTCAGAGATGTGTTAAGCCGATGCAAAATACACCCGTGTCTGACTGATGCACCAGTGCACAGAGGCATCAACACTAATCTTTCATAAGAGGCAGATTGCTCAGGGCCAAACCCCTGGGTAATGTCTTGAGACCTGGTTCATCTGTGCCCATCTCGTTCCATTTGTTGGTGAGCTCCTTCTGCTCTGCTGCGGGCCTCTGCGGAGAGGGTGGAAAGAAAGGATTTCAACAAACACATGCCATACAGCCACAACAGAACCAATCTTGAAAATGTCACATCGGAGAGGTGTTCATAAATACAATCACATGTGCACAGAACCAAATAACAAAACAGATTCCAGACTGTACTGCCTGTTTATTACCAGTCCACAGATACAGAGGCATTGTTAACTTTGCCTTAGGCAGGGTTTGGCTCTGGTCAAACTCAGCCACAGTTAAGGCTCAACTCGGTCCGCTGGGAGTTAAAATGATACAGGCTTAAAGGAATACTTCACCCCCAAATGATTATTTGTACATCAATTACTCACCCTGTGTCATTTGAATTCTTGAAGAAAACTCTTCTCGTGTGCCTCCAGTGTGCGAAGAATCCAAAAAGTTTTGATAAACTGAATTCATAGGGGTCCACGTTTACCAACAGCAAAACTACATCAAAACATCCATTTACAAACTCTCACACAACTCGTGCTGCATAATCCAAGTCTCATTTGACCAGTTGTATGCTCTGTACTTCCCAAACAGACAGCCCTTTTTGACTGAACAGATAAGTCACATTTCCACCAAACACTTTCAGTATAGTACCTTTGGAATCAAAAGTAACCCTTCAGACATGGTACCTAGACCCTAGGTCCGCTTAGTGTTTCCTCAGCAAACAGTACTCTTAAATGTGGGCGGGGTTGTTGTCACTCAATGATTCATTGAGCACTTACTGTACTCCTTCTTAATCAGTCTGCACCTTGTTTATCATCCACAGAGCAAGTGAAACTGATCTATGCTCTTTTCAAAGCCAGACTCCATTGACAAAAACAATAATTTTACCTCACAGAACACAGGGGCTGCTCGTCTACCACTGCCTCAGTTAGTTAGTTTGCTTGTGTTATCGTTTGGCTTTGGTGAAGCCAAACTAACCCTTTAAAAGCCAAGCCACTCAATAACACAAACAAACAACCAATCAATCAAGGGAGTGGAGTCTGGCTTTGAAGAGAGCATAGATAAGTTTCGCTTTTAGTTCAGCTCCTTAATGTAGTACTGAGCAAACGACTGGATAAATGAGATTTGGATTACACTGCACGAGTTGTGTGACAGTTTGTAAATGGATGTTTTGATATGGTTTTACTGTTATTAAACATGGACCCCTATGACTTCAATTTGTCAATAATTTTCTCCGTTTTTGGATTCTTCGTTCACTGTGGAGGCATGAGAGAAAAACAAAGCTTCCTTGACAAATTCAAAGTAACACAGGGTGAGTAGCTGATTTGGAGTGTTCCTTTATGTTTCTTCCACTATGCAAAAATGAAGGCCTCTGCCAGAGAATCTGAATTAAGAGCTGTTGTAATTATGCTGTGTTAGCCGTGATTTGACAATATTTTAGTTACCATTCGAGCCAGAGGCACTCCGAGCTCTGTACTCATGCTGTTCAGGCTTTTGAGGACACGCTTCTCCCAGCTGGCCTGCGTAAGAGAACACAGACTCAGAAACATTTGGCTTCAGATACCACGTTAGAAATACCTCGACGATACCAAACAGGGCTTACGTCTCTGTAATCAGGCAGAGACACAGAAGAAGAACGAGTGAGGAGTGATGGAGATAAGAAGAGACTGACTGACCTGTGCCTTGCGCATGTAGGCCAGCGGCTCTTTGAGATGCTCTTCAGGAGCCGCAGGATGGCTCGGGGGCAGCTGGCTGGAAGAAGTAAACACAAGAGCGGGGGCGAGGAGCGTTACAGTACAATAGAAGAAGGGTTAATCCAGTAAATACATAAAAGTGCCACTGTGTATATGAGGATTGGAGCCATTTTGAACACAAACAGCATTTATTTTAAAAAGCACTGTGTCAAACTGCTTGACAGATGTACGCTGTCGGACAAAAGGCAAATAAAATGTGGAGATTCTTCTTAAAAACAGGCCGTCAGTCACCATTAGTGCCCCGCACACTAGGCTCAGATGAGTCAGAACGCATCTCCGGCAGATTCACTAAAAGTCTTGTGTCTTTGCTCGGGGCATATTGAATGACTCAAGGTCTCAGTGCGTTAAACAACGTTCACCCTAATCTAAACACCTATAAGAGCACATAGAGCTGACTAATGGCCAAAAGAAGGAGGCATTAGTCAAAGTTATGTGTCATCCTTTAAAAGCAAAGTATTAGGCGTCCTGTGTTTTAGCCTCAAGAGAGCAAAGGTAACAGAGCACTGTTGATGAGCAGTTTTAAAAGCTGGTTATTCAAGTTCAAAGAGTTTTACAGCTGTGTGATTCTAATTAAGATTAGAGAGGTAAACAGAACATAAATCTGGATTATTATGAAGTAATTATCAGGGTTTAACCGTCTCTCAGTGGCCTCTATTTCAGTGTCTTTTGCTAAAATAAGTGAAGTGAGTTGTGTCACTAAGAACTGCTGCAGGGGCAGGTAACAATGCAACGTACAAATATTTGTACAAAAAAATGGCACCAGACAACTTTGCATCCAAATGATGTAATAACCCAAACTCAACACACTGCACACAAACTACAACTTTATACTTTCAAGCGTTATCCTTACTATCCCTCCTCTGAGGCTGAGTCCTGTGTTAACAATGTGCAGTACATCAGCGTGTCTACGGGTGCCTGACACTTAAATGTAATGCTTTTTAACATCTTTTCAAGATCATTTTTAACCAAATTTAAGCCTACTTTTTGGACAAAACATCGTTTTCTCATTCAGGCATTGCAGGTAAGCATAAAGGTAAGTAGTAAATTATGTGTGGTCCCGTGCAGAGGTAGGTTTTATGTAGTAATATGGTGATTAGAGTGAGTTAGGTAAATCAGGTAAGTACCAGTATAAAGTGAAAGGACAGTTTTAGGTTCAGTGATAGGTTTAAACATTTTCAACATCAGACATGGGTTTTCACGCAAAGGAGCTTGACTCATTTTGACAAAAAGAAATTAAAAGATGTATAAATTAAATTAGATTAAATGTTTGTGGCAATTAAGATATTAAAATATAAGACTATCTGATAAATTTCAAATATTTATAAAATAGAATTTAACACATTTTAAGACTTTTTAAGGACCTGTAGTCTACATGCAAATAGTAAACACTTAAATAATTTATATAGCAGAAGATAAATGGGAGAAAAAGACATTAATCGGGACCCATAAACAGCGACAAAGACAAGTGATTTACTTGATGAAACTGAGACAATGGAATATACAACTAAAAATTTAACTCCCAAACAAAACGTTTTTGGTTTCGGTGTCATTTTAGTTCTTAGGTTTGTTTGTTTGTTTGTTAGTTTATATGCTCATCAGTAGGTTTTACATGAAAACTAAACTGACAGAAAGAAAATGTTCTAACATGTAACAATGCTTCATCTATACAGTGGCATGTTGGTCAAATTAAAGGTCCAGTGGGGATATATTAGCAGAAATGTAACATAATATAATAAGTATGTTTTCTTTTGTTTTTAATCAGCTGAAAATAAGAATTGTTGTGTTTTTGTTACCTTAGAATGAACTGTTTAAATCTACATAGGAAGCAGGTCCTCATCTACAAAGGTCGCCATGTTGTACTACCATGTTCTACAGTAGCCCAGAACGGACAAACCAAACACTGGCTTTCGCATTTGGCATTTTTGCATCAGCCACTGTAGCAAGCAGCCCCTCGGCTACGAGAGCACCTGAAGAATACTTTTAAGGTGAAACTGCTTTATTCTGTGTTTTTACTGGTTTAAATCACTGGGTCTGTTTGTTTTGGAGAGGAGGAGACCTGTGGATAATCTGGCTCCTGGTAAAAACCTCCTGAACATCCGGATAAGAAAAATGGTGAATGCTGGAAGATGGATGGATGGACAGATAGACAGACACTTAATTAATCCTGGGCGAAATTAACGCATCCACTAGCTTATGACACAACAGATGTGAAATGACAGTCTAGTCCCAGGACTACTACTGAGAACTGTTACTAAATGGTAAATGTTAAATGGACTGCACTTCTGTGGCGCTTTTCTACTCTTACTCTTCTACTGAAAGCGCTTTTACACTACTCCACCTTCACCCATTCACACACACATTCACACACTGGTGGCTGTACAATACATGGTGCCGCCATCGCGAGCGGTTTGGGGTTCAGTATCTTGGCAAAGGATACTTGAACGTGTTGCAAATTTCAGTGGTTGACAGTGCAGGCATTGAAATGTAAGGCGATTAAATTAAAGTGGAAGAACAGTTCAAGAGTAATGAAAGTTTTGCTATGGATAATATGAATGCAACTGAAAATAAATAGATGTACAGATGGCAATGCAAATTTTTGGTTTTGTTTTGTTTTTGTAGAGGGTGCTTAAAAGTAGAAACAGTGTTTAATAAAGAATACAGAATGCTGGAAAATAAAGTTGCAAACAGAAGGTGAACATCTAAATAAACACAAATGTAAATTGTGTGTTAATATGTGAAGTAAATGTTGATTGTGCAAGGTTAACATAACCAGTAAGAGACCAGTAACCTAGACCAGCAGCCCGTCTCCAACATGCTAAGCAGCATCAGAGAGACGCTGATTTGTAGGACTGAAATTGCTTTAGATAAGCTGTGTCTCAATTCAAAGCCTGCAGCCTTCGAAGGCCGCATTTAAAGACCGATTGCGTCACATCAACGCAACCAAGGCTGTCCCATTTTGAAGGCTCCTTCAAATGAAATTCAGAAGACATGCAGCCTTCTTTCCCAGAATTTGGAGGATGCAACGGATGAATCCTTCATGGCCCAGCCTATCCCAAAATGCATTGTGCGCCGGTGATGAATATATATTAAGTTAACAGAGTTGTTAACATTAGTATTAGCTAAAAGCACACAGCTTAAACAGTCAGTTAATTTAATAAATTGACCTGGAAACGGTCCATCAGTCTGAAATATATCAAATGGCGGTGAATGATCTCCTCAAGTATTAGTTAAAAAAAAATATATATATATATACATAAATACAATCTCTGGGTCCATGATTTAGGGCTAACTAACTTACTAGCTTACTCCTTCTTTCATCAAACACAGCTGGTTGCTAGGTAACACGTACGCCAATGGGTTGGGGTGAGAACAATTGGTGGTGCAATCAGGAAATCCTTCCGCAGACCAGACCGTCACATTTAGGAGACTGTTCGGTTTGGCTGATGCAGCCTTCAAAGGACGTGGACAACATCTACTGCGAAGGCTGCATCCGTCCCTAGCCCTTTTAGATTAGGGATGCACCGAAATGAAAATTTGTGGCCGAAGCCGAAGCCGAATAATATTAAACTCTTGGCCGAATACCAAATATCGTTGTTTAGTTTTTCATTAGTTTTTGCAGATGAACCCCCTCCAGATTAGTGTTGTCACGATACCAATATTGGGACCCACTGTACGATACCAATGAAAATATCATGGTTCTGAGTAGTATCACGATACCACAGCGAAAATGAGGCAGATGTGCCTTTTCTCATTTATAAAAAGATAAAATAAATCACTTTTCTATAATATATCAATGATATTTCAATGGAATAAAATACTTATTGACTTATTCATACTTCAAAAACAGCATCAATAAGTGATTAACATAGGGGGGATCAAAATAAAATAAATAAATAAAATAAGAATCAACCAGCCACCCTCCTCCCCTGACAAGTAAAGAACAGTCCCTAAAGTGCGGTGAGGTTTGTCCTCTGACACATCACATACCTGTGTTCGGCTGGCTCGGCCGTTCAGGTACTTCTGGGCAGTCATGACGCCAAGAAGAGGATATTATTGGAGCTGACTTCTCCGTCGCCCGGGAAGCCGATGGCCGCCGTATTTGACAGGAATACATTAACGTTACTGTCTGTGTCTGTGACCCCCGTTCAACCCACAATCGGTGGGATTCGCCTTTCGTTTGTGCTGCTGGGTGAAATCTGTAGGCTGCTCGCACAGCGTGCTGAATGATTTAAGCCTATTTTGCTCGCACAAAACTATTTTTAGTAGCAAATGCGAGTGCAGTGACGGACGGATCGCCACACTGCCGACATTTTACTCAGCCCGTCACGGCACGCTGTTTGATTGCGTTATCAAAACACGCCGCTATTATTCGGCCTTGCTTTTAACTTATTCCACCGAATACTGAATGTGTGGGGGTTTTTTGCAATATTTGCCCAAATATATTCGGTTACTGAATATTCGGTGCATCCCCATTTTAGATAGGAATTGTGCAAATTTGCAGGAAAGCCCAATCAGTCTTTTTTCAGCATTGGCAGTATAAAAACAAAATCATGGAGTGCGGCAAAATGCCGTCTGCCTACTTTTGTTTATACAGAATGCGCCTTTTTCGGGGCAATGGGGGGCGTGAGCAAGTAACAAAACGTGTAGCTCAGTGAAGCTGTGGCTAGTCAGGCGGCGATTCTCTCGTAAGTCAGCTCGTTCTTCACCATCCCCGTCATCTGGCGGTTAATGACCTCTTCGTTTGCGAGGACAAGGAGGGCGCGCAATTCCTTGTCTCCCCAGTTGCTCATCTTTACAGTTTCTGTCAGGTTTGCGTTTCCTTCTTGCTACTAGCTGCTCGCTAATTCCTGCTATCAGCTGTTTCCTGTTTATCCACCGCCAGTGGCTCGCATGTGCATCATCAACAGCCCCTCCTGTTGCGGAAGGCCGCCTCGGTCTGTTTAAACTAAAAGGGTTCTGCCAATATGACTACCCCACGAGAGGGAAAATTGGGCACCTCGGATCAACTCTCCAATCCGCCTCTGTGTGTATGAACGCTTGCAGCTGGCCGGCAAAACAGCCCAACATTCGCGGAAAATCTGGCAGTGTAAAAGGGGCTAATGGCTGCAGCCCCTGAATTGAGACACAGTAGTATTTTACCAGTTTAAATCACCTGGTTGACAATGCACATAGAAAGGAATTTTTTCCCGGGAGAAGTTTCAGCTGGTTGCAATCTGCAGTCCTCGTCGCTAGATGCTACTAAACCCTCTAAATCTGACACACTGGACCTTTAAACTGAAGGCAACTTACACATGTAGCTCTCTGTACACTGCATTCTGTAGCTGTCTCTCCCAGCCTGTAAAAACATATATACATCATCACCACACAGACAGAAAACAATAGCAGGCTAGTTGTTGTTATGACAGTGAGCAAGGAGCTGCTGCAGTGCAGCAGAGGATGATGATGATGAGCTCACCTGATGTTTTGAGAAAGCTGCGCACGTCCTCTTTAAGAGACTCCAGTTTAATGTCAGGTTGGTGTAAACACTCCTACAGAGAGTAAATAAAAATAAAGTTATACAGTCAATAAGCAGCCTGTGCTCTGTGTCCTCACATTAAGACAACCTACAGATATCACTACAGCTGTTCACGACACTGAGAGACTGACAGCAGCCTGTCCGTTAGCCACATGCTAACATGCTAACCCACTCACTTTGGCTTGCCTCTCTATCTGAGAGTGTAAATGGCTTCCCTTCAGCCGCTGCACGATCTGAGCGATGGTCAGGGATAACTCCGAACCTTCGTCCATCCTCTTCGTCAAAGTTCAGCCTGTATAACGGGACAGTTTGACGTAGTAAAGGTTAGCTGCATCCGGCGATGCGGCAGCCGCCCCCCTGCAAAGGTTACTTAGCAACTGAGGACGGGCAGAGCGCGTGCAGGGGGGGAAACAGGAAGCAGAGACTTTGGTTCCGAGGTGTAAATATTTGTTCCTACGGTAAAATACACACAGTTCACTCATGATATCATATCTGAAAAACACCTCATATGTACATTTACTCAAGAACTGTACTTAAATACAGTTTTAGGGTACTTTATACATCTAACATCTCTTTGATGTTGTTTTGTGTCTCTTTGAGGTCATTTTGTGTCTCTTTGTTGTTGTTTTGTGTCTCTTTGAGGTCATTTTGTGTCTCTTTGATGTCGTTTTGTGTCTCTTTGTGGTCATTTTGTGTCCCTTTGACGTTGTTTTGTGTCTCTTTGTGGTCATTTTGTGTCTCTTTATAGTCATTTTGTGTCTCTTTGATGTTGTTTTGTGTCTCTTTGAGGTCTGTTTGTGTCTCTTTTTGGTTATTTTGTGTCTCTTTGTTGTCGTTTTGTGTCTCTTTGTAGTCATTTTGTGTCTCTTCGACAATGTTTTGAGTCTCTTTGTGGTCATTTTGTGTCTCTTTGACGT